AGGCAATCCACTCACCTCAGCCTCCCAAAGGCGCGGGATAACAGACTGAGCCACCAAGCCTGGCTTCAAGGGTTATTTTAAACATAAAGTAAAATAAACCTACCCTGGAATCCCATTCAACTCTGTGTATTCTCTTATTCCACTGAGGACATGTGACTGGTGACTTCCTGGCCCATCTCCTCCTCCAAAGAATCAGCAGTTTTTCTCTTCCTCTCTAGCAACTGTGATGAGGCTTCCTTCTGGCATCATCTATCAGTCTCCTCAGGCTTTTCACTCTCTATCCCACGCCTAAAAGCTGGTATTGCCCAGGCTCCAAATGTTGTCTTTGATTATAGTATCTTCAACTTGAGTCTTTGATTACTTTCCATTATCTTTGCAAAATGATAGCAACAACTGCCATTTATTAAATTCCTACAGGTGTCAATCCCTTAGGTGTTAACTCACTTAATCCTCATACCAGCCAAGCAAGGTATATATCATCTCATCCATTTTACAGATGAAAACAAATGCAAGGTCGCGGAGTCAGTAATAACAGGAATTACCCCCTTTATCAAATGTTTACTCATTGGCAAGCATTATTCTACGGACTTTACATGTATTAACATATTTAATCCTTTCCTCATAAAATAAGTATTCTCTTATTTTTCCTATTTCACACAAAATAAAACTTAATTACACATAAGCTACATAATTCACCTGAATTGACAATAATTATGAATTAAATGGCAGAGCTGGATTTGGACGCAGTGCTGACTTCAAAACCTAGTAATTTCCCCTCTAAATTTCACTGTCTATCACACTTTCCACAACCACCTATGTTAGTACTGGAGATCTCTATTAATGATGCCTAAATCATTAATACTAGAATATGAACAACAAGGTTCTTTGGCATATAAAGAAATAAAGACTTAACGCACAGCCACCATTTGCCTTTCATTCATTACCTTTATTAGGCTCTTTTCATCAATCTTGTAGTAGTCTTCAAGTTTTTTCTCAACAAGCTGTGCAAGCTTACTGGCATTGTCTAGAGGTTTACTAGAAAAGAAAAGAATGTTTAAACCACTGTCTTTCAGGACACACTTTACAATGAAGTTGAATTCTAAAATTAATCAAATGATTTATTTGTAAAATGGTTAAAATTTTAATGAAAAATATACAAATGTAAATCTTATCATATGTGCTTCAGATTTTTTAATAAGAAGGACATAAAACAGTACATGTAAACTTACAGTTCCCTTATTTCCCTCCCAAGCCCTGGTCCTCTCCCATGCCACAATCCCAACAGGCCAAGGCAACCACTATCACGAGTTTCACATATATTCCTCCAGTCATTTCTCTTTATGTGTATGCATGTGTGTATATGAGACCAAGATGTATATACATATATTTTAGTCAGGGTCTCATTTTAGAAGACAATGATATACAACATTTTTGATTCTGAGACAGGATCTCACTCTATTGCCCAGGCTGGAGTGCTGTGGCATGATCAGAGTTTACTGCAGCCTCGACCTCCTGAGCTCATGTGATCCTTCCACCTAAGCCTCCTGAGAAGCTGGGACTACGCCACACTCAGCTAATTAAAAAAAAAAAAATTGTAGAGATGAGGTCTTGCTATGTTGCCTAGGCTGGGGGATCAATCCATGCTGTCTTATCAGATTTATTCATTTTATCTCCTCTCTTGCATTCCATATGATTACTGAATCTATATGAATTCTATTTTCATATGAATAAACTCTATTTTCATAGCTATATATTCATTTTCCTAAAGATGGACATTTGGGTCCTTCTCAATTGTATACTACTACAAACAACACTGTAACAAACATTTGTACCTCTATCTCCATGTACATGTTTCTCTAGGAATATTACATTCAAGGTATAAACTGCTGGGTCACAGGACATGTATATTTTCAACTTTTCTAGATATTACCAAACTGTTCTCCAAGTTAATTGACCAATTATCCCACTAGCAGTGTGAGACGTCCCCATATGCTCTCTAACACAAGTCAACTTTTCAATATAGTTTTTTGCATACAATCTTGTATGAATGGTAGCTGTAATCCCAGCACTTTGGGCGGCCAAGGCAGAAGAATTGTTTGAGCCCAGGAGGAGGCCAGCCTGGGCAACACAGTGAGAACTCATCTCTACCAAAAAATAAAGAAAATCAGCTGGGCATGGCGGCACATGTCTGTCATCCCAGCTACTGGGGAGACTGAGGTGGGAGGATCACTTGAGCCCAGGAGACTGAGGCTGCAGTCAGTGTGATCACGTCACTGCACTCCAGCCTGGGCACTAGAGTGAGACCCTGTCTCAAAAATAAATAAATAAAAATCTTGTATACCATTGTCTTCTAAAATGATAACCTCATACTCTAAATTGTAACTTCATAACCAGTGGGGTTAGTGTAATTTCCAAATCTACAAGAAAAATCTTGGAAAAGGCTCTTCAACTAGCACACCAACCTCAAAAATGGGAGGTCTCATTGCAAGGGCATCAAGGTGTCAAAGAATCTTTAGGTTTTAAACCTTAAAAAATAAATAAAGTTGCATCTGTAAATAGTAATTTGTTGCACTTTTTGTAAAATATTCTCAAAAGGAAATAACTTCATGCTGAACTTACACTTTAAGAGTCTATAAAGCAGCTGGGTGCAGCAGCTCACTCTGACCCCAGCACTCTGAGAGGCTGAGGCGGGAGGACTGCTTGAGCCCAGGAGTTTGAGACCAGCCTGGGCAACACAGTGAAACCCTGTCTCTATAATAAATCAAAAAAATTAGCTGGGGGTGGTAGTATGCCTGTAGTCCCAACTACTCAGGAGGCTGAGGCAGAAAGATTGCCTGGGCCCAGGAGGTCGAGTTGCAGTGAGCCATAATGATGCCACTGCACTCTAGCCTGGGCGACAGAGTGAGACTCCAACTAAAAAAAAAGAAGCCCATAAAGTGTAAAGAAACATTATGCGAAAGAATAGGTAGACGTTTAAAAGACAGGGTTATTATTTATTAGAGTAACTCAAAGCACATCCCTATGTGAGTTTTTAAATCATAAATGTGCTGTTTACTCATTTCCTTGAACAGAAACAATCATCAACAGCAGAAGACTGAACAGTAACTCAGCTCTAGCCACCAGGCCCAGAGTGTCATCAGCACCTCACTTTCAAGAACAAGAATGCTTCTAACACCCACATGTAAGCAGAGCGCTTGTTTGCTAATATCTGAATTAAGATTTACTATACTTTTTTCCTAGTAACTGATAAGTGAAATTTTTAAATGGTAAGTTAAGAGTAATGTGAATCCTATATGAATTTGCAAATAAACAATTCAGTCAACTAACTTGACACATGCTAATGTGCATATTAAAGAACCTCTTAAAAGAGAAATGAATACTAACATTTATTATTAGTAGTAATGGAGTATATTTATTACTACCAGTTTTAATAGTGCCATCTGTTATTTTGAGTGTTTTACCGCTATTAGTCCGTTTAATTTTAACAACAACCTTGAGGTAGGTACTGTTATCATTCCCATCTCATAGATAAAGAAACAGAGACCAGATGGCCACAGATGTAGTAAGCAGCAGAAATAAAAGTCAAGCTGTCTAGCTACACACAACAATATGGATTGCTCTCAGAAAATAATGATGAGCAAAGAAGTCAAAAACAAAAAATCATGTAATTCCATTTATACCAGTTCAAACTGGCAAAACTAAACTATGTGTTAGAAGCCAAATGGGGGAGGATATGGTGGGGGTGACTGGGAAGGACCTTGAGAGAGGCTCCCAGATACTGGTGATGTTCTATTTTTTGGCTTGGGGTTAGATGGGTATGTTCATTTTGGAATGAATTATCAAGCCACATAGAGCAGGTGCTCAAATAATGCTATTTTGTACGATGCTGTTTCATTATAACATTGAAAATATTTTTTTTAAAAATTGTTTTTAATTTAAAAAATAAAAATGGATTCTGGCCATAGCTGCTGCTTGCATGGAGTTGCACGTCTCCCCATGCCTGCATGGGGTTTTTCCTGATCCTGTGGACTCCTCCCATATTCCAAAAATGCACTCATTAAGTGAATTGGCTCATCTACATGGTCCCAGTGTGCTGGTGTGTGTATCCTGCAAGGGAATGGCATCTTGCCCAGGGTGGCTTCCTGCCTTGCACCCTGAGCTGCCGGGTTGGGCTCTGGCCACCTGTAATCCTGAACTGGAATATCTGGGTAAATAATGATTTTACTTTTTTGTTAATCTTTCTTGAATGTATATATAGTTCATGCTCATTTCAGTGTTTAATATTAGCAGTGTTTTGGGTTTTTATTTAGAAGTTTGGTGATGTTTTGTGACCAGAAAACTTAGCTCTTGTTTATATCAATTATCCTATGGTAAAACTGGTTTTATTGTAAGTCACAGTTTCCGAAACACTATCAGTGACATTAAGTGAGGAAGTACGGTACATATAAGTTATACACTTTACAGCAAACGTCATTTTTTTGAAAAAGCAAATAAATAAGTCAAGGCGTATGGTATGAAAGTTAAACTTTACCTCTTTAAAAAAAAGAAAACTCAAAATTTATTTAGAATGGTCACTGGGATTAAATTCTATAGATACTCAGACTCTATAACAAGTATCCAGAGAATGTGGCCATCTAAATTTGGTGGAAATTTAATGATAAAACATTAACTGCAAGATTGCATTCCCTATATGACAACAAAGATGTTTCCTTCACACAGTCCTTCAACTTAGATGGAAAAACTCTGTCTGGAAATCACACCAATTTTAAGCTCTGAAATTAAATAAAGCAACTATTAGTTCATCTGAAATGTAAACTTTAAGCTTTAAGTCTATATATAGAGCGTGGTATAATTAAACAAGAAAAACAAATTCTGCAAACCAATACACAAAGGCACAGAGACATCACCTACCACTACACTGGACAGCAAACAGAAAGCCCAATAGGCAGACATGGGTGTCCCACCTTTTATATCTCACGCCAGGGTTTTCATCTAGCGTGGCACACACGGTGACTATCTGCTCAGCCAGTGCTTCCATGACAGCCTCTTTCCCATGTGCATTGCCTGGATCTGGACTGTAGCAGTAATAGAACGCATCTGGTACATCAAGAGTGTACACCTACGTTAGGGCAAAAAAAGCACGTCGTCAGTCTGGGGACTTGATTTAAAAATCCATCAAGAAAAAAGCAGTTAGTACTGGGGACATTAAAAAGAAGTACTTGCGCTAACCATGCTGTTTCCTGAAACAACTGTGCCTTTACCTCAATGAAATCTCATCTTTTGTCATCTTGATTCTGTCCTTTATTTCTTTCTCATCCCCTGCTTAGTCTGCCTCTCTGCCTCAGTTGTTGCTTCATACATAGTCTGTACTGTTTGCTTTCATTACCTGTGCAACAGATGAAGCAATCTGGGAAAGTCAAATTAACATAAAGCTCTAACACCTGCCATAAAGAAGTACAGCAGGAAATCAGACATAAATCAAAAATCTTAGCCCAATAAAGAATAACCTAGAACTGTATTAATTAAAATTTTTTAAAGAGACTCTCTGTCCTTTTGGGGCAGCCAACAACCACACTCTTCTTACTTTTCAGTAGACACATCCTAATTCTTTTTGGGAAACGGTGACATATGACCAACTAAAAGAAACTTCCCATGCGCTTACATGTAGCCACGTGACTAAATTTTGGCTAATAAGACATAAATGAAAATCATCGCTTTGTTTTTGTTCTTCCTGCTGCCTTAAATGACGATGCAATAACTTCACAGTCATCTTGGATCCTGAGGGTCATGCCTAGGAGACAAGGACCTGACAACTGCAGAGAACATACCAGCCTGATAGCCTGTTCAAGAAATAAATTTCTATATTGCTTAAGCCACTGAAAATTTAGGTTTTTCTACTATATGTGGTTGAATCCACTCCTAACAGATTGGTTTTTGAAGATGTATACTACTTTGTATCCCTTATACAGAATTCAAATTAGGGTAGGGCATATATCTGGCTCTTTTCACAGAACACTGCCTTGCATTCAGCAGACAAAGTTCACTGAACATGACCTTGATAAATGTTCATTAAGCTTTTGCTCACAGCTCAAAGCACTTAGCAATATTTCATTTATATCTTCATTTGCAAACTGAGAGAAAAAAATATTTTCACTGTAATTTCTCTAAAACAGTTAAACTTATTTAGTAGACCTTCTTACGATATTTATCAAGGAAGTAAATTAAAAGATAAACATGTTAGGGGAAAAACATAGATAGGACCTTAAATAACCACAATACTTTGCACAGACTGTAAGAAGAAAGTTCTCTACACAAGCAAAGACAGGCTATTTCCATCAGCCATCAAATAAGATCTCTACACAAAGCTCTCCTTCAAACACAGCAATTGCAGAATTTTAATAAATTCTGGGGCTAAAACGATATTTCTCTTCTGTGAATCAAGATGTTCTAGAAACGTCTGTAATATTTACTATGCTACTGCTTAAATCCCACATCATTTTAAGAAGTTCATTTTCACCCTACACTTAACTTACATATCATATAAAAGGAATAAGTCTAAAGGTAACTTTTAGGAAATACTTGAATGTTTAAGCAAATATCTTAAAAATTTATAATTTGTATTACAATCTTTCTTTGTCAAAACAGTAATATCTTAAAAGAGAAATCCCTAATCTAGGATCTTTTTAGTCCTTAAAATACTGACTTCACAGTTCCAAACAATAGAAAACGATTCCAGTTCTATAAAATACTAGAATCCAAACACAGAGAACAGATTGCAACAAACTTGAACAACTCACAGGTCACGTCATGTGACCTAGGGCCAGTTTCTTAACCTCTTTGATTTCCTGATCTTTAAAATAGAGATAGAAGCAGGGCTCGGTGGCTCAGCCTGTAACCCCGCACCTTTGGGAGGCTGAGGTGAGTGGATTACCTGAGCCCGCGGGTTCAAGACCCACCTGGGCAACTTGGCAAGACCTCATCACTACAATAAATACAAAATGAGCCGGGTGTGGTAGCGCACGCCTATAGTTCTAGCTACTTGGAAGGCTGAGGCGGAAGGATCGCCAGAGCCCAGCAGGTCGAGGCTGCAAGCGGCCACTGCATTCCAGTCTGGGTGACAGAGTGAGACTCCAACTCAAAAAAAAAAAAAAAATGGAGATAGAAGTACCATCTATTCATACCAATATTATGAGGATTAAATCAACACATTTATGTGCAACACTCAGGAAAGTATCAGATTCTCACAGAACACTACAGCATCATCAGTGTTATTGTCACCATCTTTTTTTTTTTTCATTCTTATTTTTTCTCTCTTTTTTTGAGTTGGCGTCTCACTCTGTTGCCCAGGCTGGAGTACAGTGGCACACTCACAGCCACCGCTGCCTCAGTCTGCTGGGCTCAGACAATCCTTCTGCCTCAGCCTTCCAAGTGGCTGGAACCACAGGCATGTGCCACCACGTCTGGCTAATTTTTAAATTTATTGTACAGATGAGGTCTAGCAATGTTGCTCCGGCTGGTCTTAAACCCCAGGACTCAAGCAATCCTCTCATCTCCACTTCCCAAAGTGCTGGGATTACAGGCCTGAGCCACCGTGCCTGGCTTCATCATCATTATTTTTAATTGAAGGCTTAGTAACTGTTACAAAGGGCAAAACAAATCACCAAAACCCCTTCATTTTATAAATGAAAATACATGGTAATTTACATGTTATATAAAATGTTTATCAATGAACTTTTGTTTAATATCACAAGTGGTCGCAGAAGCCAAATGAAATTTTTTTCTTGATTCATCTAACAAAGACTATGCTCAAAAATTTCTTCATTTCATAACATAGAAGTGTCCTAATGTGACAAATACAGGTCTAGGTGGCAGATATGAAATCTGAGACCAACTTTTCATTATTAACGTCATATTCAATTTGTTGCTCTCGTTCCTCCCTTCATGAATGCGGAATGTTTATACGTAGAGGAGGTTCAAGTTCACCAAATGCATATACAGAACATCTTTAGGCTGTACTTTATGAACAAATAAGCTCATAACTCAATTTGAAAATCCACTATGAACTAAAAATAAAAACAGAAAATACCTGAGACTCATGTGGGATGAAGGAAATATTTATTTCTTTACATCTTCTTATTGACTTGGAGCAAGAAGCCTTAATTTTGTTAAAGAGATGATCAGGGCAAACTGAGAGAAAAAAAATAAAGCATAAGACTCCATCTAAATTTTTCTTCCTTTTGAATAAATGATTCCAACATTTCAAGAACATTTATTTTTTATATATAATTATTGGCTTTCATAAAGTAATTTACTTTAAGGATAGAGATAATGTATAAATATTGTTCTTTGCTTCACAGAACAGATATTTTCTAATCATGGGGCTATAACATAAATTCCATCTTCCCCACTCACAACCTACCATAACCTCAGATATATTTCCTCAGAGACCAGCAAACAGAGCAAACTAACATTATTAGGAAGGAAAGTCGTGTCCAAACTCATGACTTGATATACTGTAGCACTTTCAGAATGTCTTAGAAATTTACAATATTTTTCCAAATCTGTCATTAAGTGATCTACACTGCAACCATCCCATACAAATGGTTAATTTTTCAATGAATTACAGTTTTCTAATATCAAGAAATTCTAAGACTCTAATACTAAGTTTTAGACCTCAGAGCCTGTTTCCCCTTTTGTAAGTGCTCAGTTACATTTGATCGAGGTTTTATGTCTTTTAACATGCTGTTCTTTAGCCTAAAGATTTCTTATGTTAGAAAGGCTGCCCATTCAGTAAATTCTATCAATTCCATAAACATGAAGTTCTGTATGATATGGTTATTTAAATGACAAATACTTATGACATGACATTTTAAAACATGCAAACTACTACTACACATGAGACAGATAAAAATGTATAGGAAAAACAATATAATACTTAAAGTAAGGAACTTCTCACAGCAGAGACCAAGACTTAACTTAGATAAAGGGTATTTTTACTTTGGAATAGAATTATATAACATCAAACAGAGCTGGGCACAGTGGCTCACACCTGTCATCCCAGTACTTTGGGAGGCAGAGGCAAGAGGACTGCCTGAGTCCAGGGGTTCAAGACAAGCCTGGGCAACTTGGAAAGACCTTGTCTTTATAATAAATCAAAAAAAATTAGCTGGGCATGGTGGCGCGTGTCTGTGGTTCCAGCTACTTTGAAGACTGAAGCAGAAAGATCACCTGAACCCAGCAGGTCGAGGCTGTGTGCGCCACTGCACTCCAGCCCAGGTGACAGAGTGAGACTCTGACTCAAAAAAAACCAAAAATCACCAAACAGAATTGTACAGGTTGCTGGACTTCGCTGTGATTCTTTACTTCAGCTGCTGTGCATGTGAACATATGGCATAGTAAGAAAATGGGATCGATTTTCTCCCTGAATATTTCCCAGGTAGCTGTTTTCTTCAATGCCCTCCCAAAAAGGTTTTATTTCTTATAATCAAATCCCCAGTTGAAGTTCTGATTAACATAATTCTTCCTGTCATCAGCATGGAATTTGAGGGACAGCCAGTCTTCTCCACTAACCCCAAATCCCAGTACACCAGCAAAACTGTCTTTAGAAAGTAATCAGGAATGGTTTCTTTGAATTTTCTACTACCTTAACAAGAATTAGGATAAACATAATCTTATATTTTTAGATTCTTTCTAGCCTAATAACAAAAAACGATAAAAAGAAAACCACTGGTATTGAAACAGTGCTATCAAAAGTAGATACTGTAAAACAAATAGGATTCTAAACAATGAAGCAATAACTTTTAAAAAGACTTACAGTCAGTGAAGTATATATATGCTGCTTTATATTTGTTCTCCGACTTACTTGCAAAATCACGTAAGAAACAATCTACAGACTTAAAAAAATTAGAAGTTAATATACATTTTATTAAATACTAAGTTAAATATGCCATCTTTTGAAAAATTATTGACTAATCTTTATTGAAAGACTAAGATTACCGTATTTCATTGACCTTACTGGCTAAAACCTTACTGGCTAAAAGTTTAATTTAGAAACTAATTTTCAGCAGGGGCATGGTGGCTCACGCCTGTAATCCCAGCACCTTGGGAGGCTGAGGCAGGAGGATTGCTTGAGCCCAAGAGTTTGAGACCAGCCTGGGCAACAAAGCTAGACCCCATCTCTATTAAATGTATGAAAATAACAAATCTTTTAAAAGTTTAACAGATAAACTAATTTTTAAGATGCTAAATTTTCTAACCAGCAACAGCTAATAACGTATTAAGTGGTAAGGTAACAAGCAATAAGGTTATATGTGTGGACAGGGTGCTGTTACCGACAATGAAGAGGTCTGGGAAAGCTAAAGGAACACAGAAGACAACTACTGGAAGATAACAGATCAAGGACCGGAAAGCCAACATACCAGAAGGATCATCTACACGGATTACGAAACCACCGAGATTTGACTGGAGAAGCGCTGAAGAGAGTGACACTGAGCAAGGAGCTTAAACTGTCAAGTGATTAGAAAGACCAGAGCGCGGTAGATGACTGCAAGGAGGAGGAATAGCAGGCAGTGTAGTCAGGTAGTATATGCCTCAATGCAGTGGTTTTAGAAAGAAAGAAGGTAACAACTGTCTGGATGCAAAAATAAACGACAAAGAAATTAATTATCAAGAGAACCATCTGATCCTTTCTCTCCTTCTGGAAAACTCCTGCAACTGTATTTCTGTTAGACCACATCTCTTACCTTCTTCCCCATGATTTCCAGAACTTTTTTTTTCCTTTGAGAACTCCATTTGGATCTATTAGGCCACTAATTCCAGTTTCAATAATAATTATCCTCTCCTTCAATTAACTGGGTGCTTTTGTTTGTTTAGAGTTGGAGTCTCACTCTGTCACCCAGGCTGGAGTGCAGTGGCATGATCACGACTCACTGCAGCCTCAACCTCCCAGGCTCAAGCGATCCTCCAGCCTCAGTCTTCTGAGTGGCTGGGGCCACAAGCACACACCACCACCCCTGGCCAATTTGTTTTATTTCTTTGTAGGAACGAGGTCTCACTATGTTGCCCAGGCTGGTCTCGAACTCCTGGGCTCAAGCAGTCCTCCTCCCTTGGCTTCCCAAAGTGTTGGGATTATAGGCGTGAGCCACCACGCCCAGTCTAGAAGGTTTTTTATGTGTTGTAGTAGACTCTCCTTATGTGCACTATATGTCTGCTCAGGCTGTCATTCTTCAAGCAGCTCTGTTTTACTAGATAAGTGTTTTCTTCATTTTACTGAACTTTTTCTCTTTGGCAGCTGGGCCCATGTAGCCATGTGGCTGCTTTTCTTTGTCAACTCACTTGAGGCTTAGGTTTAGCTGATGGAATATCCTAAATAGTGGCAGTTTCACAAAAGGAAAAAGGCAAAGAGATAACTCTTCTCATGGGCAAAACCATCAGAGCAAAGTCAGTAATCACCAGGCCTTCCAGAGACATCCAACCAACCTCTCCCCTAGGGTTCACAGACCTCCTAGAGCAAACTCTTCCTGAAATCTGTCATTTTTGGAGCCTTCTCGGGAACTCTAATGCTGGATTTCCAGACACTTGCCCACTGTGAGGAAGCAAGTCTCACACCAGGTCTCTTCCCTAGTGCTTCCATGAACCCTAAGTCCTCCCCTGCGCCCAGAGGCCCGCACAACCCAGCAGGCAACTGATTCGGGCAGGAAGACAAACTGAAGTTGGCTGTGGCAGACAAGGGAGTCACATGTAGGCACCATCTCCCCAGAATCCTTTGCTCCTTCTGTGAATGTACAATTCTGTATCCTGATTTTGTCACTTAGCATTAAAAATGAACATTTACCTAGGTCATTAAAAATTCCTAGAAATCTTATTTTTAATGGCCATACAGTCTTTCATACTATTATTTATTAATGCTAAACATTTAACTAGATGTATTTATTGCTAGCAACTCAATTTGACCATTAATTTGATTATTTCCTTATGATAAACTCCAAAACATAAGACTTTTTTTAAAGGCTGATATGGGTGGCAAATTAGGCTGTATCACTCTATACCCCCACTAGCAGGATATGGTAGTTTCTGCTCCACTATCCACTGATAGCTAGAATAGCTAGACTGTGACATAGATATTAAATCCCTCTGCCAATGTGCTAGGTGAAAAAAATCCTTTTCACTTGTATTTTTTCCAATCATGAATTTTCTCTTAAGGAATTATATCACAGATAAGATATTAAATGCCATCAGAGCTCACTGTTTGCACCAGCAGCCAATATGTAGAGACTAAAGTGAATATCTGAGTTTTTGTCCTACTGTTTGTTAGAGTTAGAAGTGAAATGAAACAGATTGCCAAATTAACATTCTAGGTAGAAATATGTAAGAGGAAGTATTAAAAAAAAATTGTACAAAATAACACTTTATTTGGCTCTAAATGTTTGGCTTCAAGTATGAGTTAAATTATATAATCAGATTATAAACTAAAGAACTTCCTTTGACATACACTATATATGGGGACCCAAAAGAAGCTTGAATTCATTTATTAAAAATTGGGTATTTATTCTTCTATGTTGAAACTTCAGTCATCTCCAAAGTACTCTCCATATGATGTAAAACCACAATTGAGACAATTTTGCTACTGGTCAAAACAGTTTTTGAACTTGTCAATTTTTCGTGCTTCTGCTGTTTCTGTTTCGCCTCTCCCACATCAGCAAAACATTTCCCTTTGAGGATTTTCTTCAAGGGGAAGCAAAAAAAAGCCACCTGGGCAAGACTGAGTGAACAGGAAGGGTAGGGCACGAGGGTCACGCCATTTCTGGTTAAAAACTGCTGAACACTTAGGGCAGTGTGGGTAGGTGCGCTCATAAATCATCCATCATGAAACGAGCACATGCTTTGAAAGAATCTTCCTCCCAAAATTCGCTGAAGCTGAACACGGCCTCTCATGACACTAGCTGTTACACTGATGCCAACGAGTTCCTAGAACACTCACCTAGCGAGAGAACCCTGTACTACAAAGGGCCCATCCTCAATTGTTTTTTGGGGGACTCCCTTATAAAAATATATGTATACTTTTATACATCCACATACATATATATGTACATATATATATAACAGAGTCACTAAGATAAATAAAAAATTAGTCCAAGACTACTTCTTTTACCTATTTTTCCACTCCCCCAAAATCTATGGTTCAATAGGAACTGCCAGAATCAGAAATTATGCAAAGAAATACTATCATTTAATACAATTAAATTCTGCTTTCAGCCGAGTTCGGTGGCTCAGCCTGTAATCCCGCGCCTTTGGGAGGGTGAGGTGAGTAGATTGCCTGAGCCTGCGGGTTCGAGACCCGTCTGGGCAGGCGAGACCTCATCTCTACAACAAATCAAAAAAAATTAGTCGGGCATGGTAGCGCGCGCCTGTAGTTCCAGCTACTTGGAAGGCTGAGGCGGAAGGATCGCCAGAGTCCAGCAGGCCGAGGCTGCGGTGGCCAGGAGTGGCCACTGCACTCCAGTCTGGGCGACAGTGAGACTCCAACTCAAAAAAAACAAAAAATTCTGCTTTCATACATGGGGGGGAAAGAATTTTTTCATTTATACATTCTCATTGGGAAGAATGCAAAGAAAACAATCTCTTAATATAGAAAAACTTTCCTAAGCAAACTAGTTTATGGCAATATTTTTCTAGTAAAGAATATTTTATTACTTGGAATTTCCTATTAGCACACCATGACAATGGTGAAACTATTGATGAAGCTACTTTTTAAAGACTTGAAATACTCACCTTTGATGTTGGTGTGATAAAATAAAGAGCTTTCATTTGTCTGACAGGTTCACGATTCTTATAAATATTCTCTACAACTAACAAAAAAAAAGAAGTCATTTTATATAACTAAATATGTATATACTTGAAACAATTTTTAAATAAACTTTATAGTACTTTCCACTTAAATAATAGGGAAACATATCTACATATACTGAGTTTAACATTTTCTTTATCTCCTTTGATAAATTTTAAAATACTGAAACTGTGTTTTCCCTGAGGCTAAACCCTTGGCCAAATTGCCTTCTCGTCATGAGGAAAAAAAAGATAAAGCAGTGATTTCACTTTAGGTAGGTCTACCAGCATAAACAATCAACATGCCATAATGAAACCAAGAAAATGCATTATAAACTGGGCATGGTGGCTCAACAACTATAATCTCAGCACTTTGGGAGGCAGAGGTGAAAGGACTGCCTGACAACTTGGCCAGACCTTGTCTCTACAAAAAGTCAAAAAATTAGCCGGGCGTGATGGCACACACCTGTAGTCCCAGCTACTGGAAAACTGAGGTGGAAGGATCACCTGAGCCCAGCAGGTCAAGGCTACGGTGGCCATGAGCATGCCAACGCCCTCCAGCCTGGGTGACAGAGTGAGACTCTGAATTTTTTTTAAAAAGTGAAAATACATTATAAATCAAATATGTATTTCTTTTAAAAAATACACCACTATAACAATAGCAAATATGACACCACATACCAAGCTAAGCACTTTACAGTTATTTATTAAATGACAGAATAAGCCAAGTATTTTACAAAAGAGGAAACTAAGGCTGAAAGAACTTAAGTAACTTAATCACAGTTAGGAAGTCTAACAGAGGAGCTTCTAAACCACATTTGACTCCAGAGCGCAAATTTTTACCTACAATAATATTTTTTAAGTAAACTGCCAATTAACTCTTATTCTTTTAAAACCATATGTTAATATTTATAAAGTATTTTTTCTTTTTTCTTTCTTTTTTTTTGAGTTGGAGTCTCACTCTGTCAGCCAGGCTGGAGTGCAGTGGCATGCACATGGCTACTGCAGCTTTGACCTGCTGGGCTCAGGTGATCCCTCCACCTCAACCTCCCAAGAAGCTGGAATTATAGATGTTTGCCACCACATCTGGCGAATTTTTTGATTTATTGTAGAGATGAGGTCTCACCAAGTTGCCCAAGCTGGTCTTGAACCTCAGGCAATCCTCTCACCTCTGTCTCCCAAAGTGCTGGGATTACAGGCGTGAGCCACTGTGTCCAGCTTACAAAGTATTTTTTCAACAATAAAATATCACTAGAATTTAATCAACTATATTTATATGATCAAAATTAAGAAGTTTATAAAATTACCTGAAAGTGAATAAGAAATAAACTGTCAAATTAGCTATTTAAAGCTACATGTTTTTCTTAAAAACTAATTTAAAGTCCCCTTCTACAAACTCAGCAAACCGTCTTTTAAGACTCATATCAAAGAGCCGAAGAAGAATTAACATTAATGTGACATGAAAGAGTGGCTACCAAAGGACTCTTCTTTTTTTTTTTTTTTTTTTTTTTTTGGGGG